GTGGAGCTGGAAGCTGAGAACTGGCGACTTTGTAGTACAACTTTAGTGCGCGGATGAGTCATCTCTCGCGGCTGAGTCATCTCTCGCGGCTGCTCTGGCGCCCCTGCAGCTGAGTCATGTCTACCACCCGGCTCTCTTGAGAGGTTGACACACACACAGAGACCCACGCACTGCCTCAACTCACTCGACTTCACACTTCACACTGAACGCTTAACAGATAACTCACACTCTGACTTCCTACGTGATGAAAAATGCTTTCGGGCCACTCGTCGTCTAGTTGCTATTTTTTGGGCAGTGTGTGTGTCTTGTTTGCACTTTTACTTTGGGTTGGTTTTGCATGTATCTAGCTTGTTTTCAATGGTTTTTCAAGTTTTTTCGAACCTAGCGGCCTAGCGCGAGCCCAAAAGCACTTCATAAAAATAAGCCTCTTCAACCACATCATCCTCTGGAACAAATTCCGCTCTATGCTCAACTAGCTGCTTTGGACACCGAAGGCCAACTTTGGTTTTCAGTCACGAGGCCACTAACCCCTAGGCTCAACATGAGACGATTTTCTGGCGCTGGCACCTATCAGGACCCCCATGGCGCATTGCGGCTGGCCATCGCCAGAACTCCGCGGCGAGCTGTTCAGTCTAGAGTCTAGAGAACTGTCCAAGCACACCATGGAAAACCTCCATGGAAAATACCAAGTAAATATATGCAACACCCCCAAATCAGGAATCGGATGGAATCGACCAACCTTTTGAACACCACATGCCCAGGCTCCCAGGTTCAACTGCTTGGCTCCATCATTTTACAACTAACCGGCTCAAGAGTTGCAGCCCACCCCTCATCGCTTGTTCCGCCTGACTTGCAGGCCTCAGTGGCAAGCACTGAGACAGCTTACCCAACGAGGCTCTCACCGATCAAGGTTCTCACTTCTTATGAAAGAAAGTGCAAACCAATGGTGCAAAGATTGAATCAATGAGTGACTCCTCCTCCCTTCAAACCCTGAGTAGACGCTGATGCTGGCGTCCAGGGTCTCTTCGTCTTTTTCCATCATCTGGCTAGGTACCTCTTCCCACCATGTGTTCTGTGGGACCTTCAGGCGACCGCCGTTCCAACACCCCGTTCGTGGCGCGTCGGGATGTAATGAGCCCAAGCAGCTTTTCGCTCTTGTTCACCCCACTCGCATTCCTTAGCTGAAGAGCTCACGTGGGGGCTGAAACAAGTGCAAAATTCAGGCCCCATGAAGAGGTGTGAAACCAAACCTCCAAACTCCCCGGTGGTTTCAAACGGTTTCACTGTTTAGTTTCAACCATCCTCAACAGTATAAGTCCTTGACCTTGAGATTCCTCGTCATCCTCATCCTGCATATTTGCCGGCCAGAACCGCTCTCGGTGCCACAACCAGCTCGATAGCCGACATGCAGGTACTTAGATGCAGCCCCGTCGTCTCTGCTCCCGAGTGGCAGGGCCAGGCCAACCGCCCCAGCTACGAGGTTCCCGGAGGCGCTGGCCACCGCCTCCGCTTCGGCGCGATGGCGGTCCAACACCGTTGGCGACAAAAAGGAAGGCTAAGGACCAAAAGGAATTGGATTTCCACGGTGTTTCGGCATAGTTTACCAGTCGCAACGAGCTAGAATCACTGCCTGCATTTGGTAGAACGCAGTCAAGAAGAGAAGAGAGAGAGAGAGAGAGGGATGAATGCATGTATGGTATGGTATGGTATATGGAAGGTAGGGTAGGGTAGGGTATACTTGAGAGAGGAGGGGGGTGAACGAAAGGTAGCAGGGAATCAGGCGTAATCCGGGAGGAGGTGAGAGGCCCCCCACTTGTTTGAAGAGAAGTGAGTGAGCGTGATGAAAGAAAGACTAGTGCACAAACGCTTGACAAAACCTCCAGAAGCTGTAGCGGTCTAGCGGTTTCAATACAGGTTGACGTGCCTTCAAAAGGAGTCACACATTTCTCAAATGCAACTTCGGATTTACATAGTGACGTGCGGCGACCCTGTAAATTGCGTGGCCGCAGGCCATGCTTGCAAACAGGACGTGCTCAAAAACACTGGTATTTACGAGGTTTCGTTGCCGTCGATCCACAGCCGCGGCAAGGTCTAAGGCCACGCTTGAAGACAGGAGGAGCTGAAAACACTGGTATTTACGGTATTTTGTAGCCGTCGATCCAAAGGCGCACCACGGTTGAGCGCTGGAAAAGCGCAGAAAACCGTGTAAATACCGGCGTTTTCTGCCGGGAAGGTGCACAAAACCCTGTAAATACCATAGTTTTGTGCAATTTTGAAGCCTCCAAAAGCCTCAAAAACCCTTTCTGACAAAATCTTTCCTGGTTTTTGGTCTTTTTTCGGTCATTTTTCTAACCGAGACGCATCAAAAACCATCGGTTTTTGCGGTGTTTTTTGCCGGACAGCCACAAAAAACGCTGTAAATTCAATGATTTTGTGTCACTGCTGAGGACTGGAAGAGCTGAAAACAGTGATATTTACAGTGTTTTCGAACGGTTGACCCCGAGGCGCGCTAGGGTGGAGTTGAAAGGGGGGGGGGGGCCCCCCCCCCCCGGCCCGCAAACGAAGATGTCGGGGACCATTTCTCCGAGAGATAGGCTGCAGCTCTGGGTTAATACATTTTTGCTAAAGCAAAAGGAAAACTCAGGTAGCGTAACCGCTACCTTTCGTGACATGTATATATGTATGTACTTACACACACACCGCGAATATAACCAAACTCGCCAAGCTCCTCGCACTTCATTTGCTCCCGAGCCTTCATTTCCTCGCGCTCCTCGCCCTCCTGTGGCCCGACACCCAGCAGCTTGGTGGCTGCCTCGGGGCTCCGAACGACGGTGCCCACAACGGTTCCGCAGTCGCTACGGCAGGTGCCCGTGATTTTCTGAGACGAGATTCTTGCGGAACATGTAAGCCGGGGTGAGCAGCTAGCCTCCAGCTTGGGCCACACAAGCACGCGAGGATCTTCCCTAGGAACCCATCCGGATCGGTGGCGAGTCTATAGGTGGTTTCCAGCATTGTTGTGGTTTCTGCCGGTTTTTTCCGTACAAAGATGCGCTTGTCTTGCCTGTTAAGACCATTCCGTCCCTCCACTTCGGGGTTGTAAGTTGGAACCATCACTGTGACCGTCCAACCCCCACCCCCGCGGAAGCCAAGTTGCACAAGCCAAACCCTTGACATTTGAGGCCGCCTTCTGGCTAAGGTCCTGACATTGCGGCACCGGTATTGGATTTCAATCCTTGTGGGGATGAGGGGGTCTGCCATAACCTGCAGCTGAAACCACCAAGCCGGCACTAAGTGTGATGGAATTCAAGATAGGAACTAGCTCCCTTCAATCTTCTCCAAGCTTGCACATAGCACGTGAAAACGAAATCCCCAATGGCTCGTTTCCAAGATCCCCCCCTAAGTGGTGATTTGGAGCTTTAAACCTCCCGGTGCTCCTCCCGGTGGCACCGGAATGCGAAGACACCCCACTGTCTTGTCCTTCATGGACTCTTCTCGCTCCGCGGCGGTGCCACCGAGCACTTTCCTCGACGCTGCGAGGAGCGTCCCACGGGCCACGGGCCAAGGCGTGCCGGAGCGGATCACTCTGGGGGACCCAACGGGTAGGCGACCCGGTGCTCCACGTCCAAAATGGAGCAGGGAGAAACGATGAATGTAGAGCTAAAAGGAAACACCGGCAAAGGAAACACCGGCAATCAGCAATGGCTCTGACAAACCGCCGCGCCCTTTTCGGGTGCGTTTCACGCACGGGGCGTAGCCTTCAGCTACAGAGCACGCCTTCTAGCAAGTGAGTCTCAGAACCGCTTCAATGTCTGATGTTGACCATTGATCATTAGAACATATTAGAACCATAAGATCCACTCTGGATCTGGGGGTTGTCCGTCAACCGTGCCCCTGCCCTCAAAAACGCCAAATTATAGTTATATAGCTGGTATCAAGTTGCTCGATCGAGACCGCCGTGTCCAGCACCTTGCTGCTCTTCCGCTGCAGCTTCGTTCGGAGGGACTCCACCTGAACCCGTCGGAAAGTGGAAAAGGTCCGACGCAGGAGTCTCCGGCCTCGTCCACGCAAATGGATTAGCTGGAGTGTTCCGGCATGTTAGCCAGCCATTTGGTGCATGTTTTTGACTGGCCCGCCTAAGCTTCAACATACTCCAAAATCAAACGCAATCCAGACTTTCTGTAAAGATACCTAGTGTTGTGGCCCTCTTCACTGTTTTTCCATGTGCAACACAACTGTAACTGCCATCCCCACACCCTCCCCGCACGCGCAAACAGATCGTTACAAACCCGCATGAAGGGCCCTGATGTTCATCAGGGGGGGCCGTTCATGTGCACGCGCCTTGCACAAATAGCCTGAGGCCTTCTGAAGCTGTTCTTCTCCCATGGCTTGAAGCTCCACTGCTGAGGGTGAACTCTCCTGGCAACATGACGAGCCACGCACACCTGGGTCATAATAGTCACATAGTGAAAAGAGAGAGCGAGAGAGAGAGAGAGAGAGGGAGAGAAAGAGGAGATGTATAGCATGGACCCACCAAAACATGAAGACGCCGGCCGAGACGATCATCTTCCCAAACTTTTATGCACTGTATAAGTTCTATATATATATATATATATAGTTGCCCACAGGTTGATCAGCCGCCTGGTGTTTTCGTACGCTTCACTGCTTTCACAGCAGCATTGTCATTGGTGTCATAACATTGTCATCGGTTTCATAACATGGTCATCGGTTAGTCGTGTGATTACAATGGGGTGGGGGGGGGGGGGAGGGGGGGTGTTCCATGTGTCCTCGACGGCAGGGACCCAGCAAATAGATCGAGCGTGGCAGGAAATGAACAACTTCATTCCTACTACTACCCACTTGCCGAGAAAGGTCCTAGTGAAAGGCTCATACACTTAACCCAGCCATTGAAAGACAAGTCTGGTAGTTTGCTTGGAGAAGAGAACTGAAAGAGTCAGCGCCAAAAGATGTGCTGGAAGCTCTGATGCAAGTGATCCGAGACAGTGGCTGATATAAGGTCAAACATATGCGGTCCGCCCTGATGAAAACAAACAGTTTTTTAACCTGCATGTTTTCACTATGTTCCATGAACGCTCCGTTTGCAAGGGGGTTTACAACACAGGCCTCAGGCGACCAGTGCGCCCGTGACCATATAGTTAGGCTCAAGCAACGACCCCGCCAATGGCCCACGGCGTACCGTTTCTTGGGTTTCTCAGGTGCCATGACGCACACTGGGGGGTTGACGCTCCATGGGTCATCCGACACCCACAAACGCCAGAACGAGCCAGAAAGGACGAAGAAACAAACAATACAATTATATGCTTCTTGTCACCTTGTGTGGCAGAAGAACAGGCGCTTTCCATTGACTGTTTAACACCTGTTCTATCCTCTTCTTTCTGCGTTTCACCCGCAGCTGCCCAACATGTCCTCCACCAGTGGCTCTGCCAGCACTGCCAAGGCCGCGAGCGCCTGCCACACCCATGGGCACCGTGCCAGGGTGGCTGCCAGCAGCTCCGCGTCCGTGGCGCCCGGTGGGTCTAGGCGGTCGAACAGGCTGCGGCCGGTGGCCGAGCGGTGCAGCGCAAGACCACTGGCCACAGAGGTGAGGGCCATACAGAGGAAGGCCTCGTGTCCGCGCGCGCGCTCAGAGGAAGGCCATACCGCGCGCGGACACGGACAATGGGAAGGTTTTTTAGGGGGACCTGCGCAGGACGTACGGATAAGGACGCGCAAGCGTTTTTACAATGCGCCACTCACCTGAGACAATGGGGTGTCTGAAACAACGGGCGCATTGAATGCCAAGCCATGTGGCAACTTCGAAGTCTTCCTCTTCCAACAAGAAGGACGAATTGCTGGCCACAAGGGTTTCGGGGCATCCCTTGGAAGACCGACATTGCGAATCATGATAGGCACTGTTGATTGAAAAGCCGGATTGGTGAACATATTTATTCGTATCTTCATATATAGTTATACATACAGTATATACCGTGTATGTGTGTGTGTGTCTGTGTGTCTCTCTCTCTCTCCCATTGTCGGATAGGAGCCTGCTTCGTCAAACTTCAAACTTTGAACCTTTTAGATGCACCACTCTGATGCTTCTGATCTCAAGGGGAAGATCCATGACCAAAGAGGTCGGATGGTACACGTGCGGCATCTGTTCTCCTACCTTGGATCCACCTCTCCGATTTGAAGCTCAACTCGGGGGACTCTAGGGGTTCATGGTTCTCTTTGTTCCCTCCCTTCAATATTGCCCCTCAACCCGCCTGAAGGAACTCCCACATGTACCCCGAAGACGCTGCCACAGAGGTCTCTAGCCCTAAAAGCGCCACCGCCGCCAGCCAGGGCATTTGGCAGAACGCCGCCCGGCGGGGTGGGTCATCATAGATGGACGCCTGTGACCAGTCTTCAAGACCAGTCGGCCGCGTGGACTTCGTAACAATTAGGCATCAGAGTCCGGCGGGGTTATGTATTGTGAACACTTAACAAACGCCGCTAAAATACACAAATACGTGTATGTATATAAAAATATATATACGTGTGTGTTTGTGGGCGAGCGCTGGTTACGGGGCCTTCTGGGGGAGTGTTCCAAGACCTATAATTTATAGCTTAAATTTTTTAGTGCTTACATCAGCGCCACCCATGTGTATCTCACATATATATATATATGTGTGTGATATATATATATATATGTGTGTGTGTGTGCATCTGCATCTCTTCCACACACCACAATGTAAGTGTGCGGTGGCTCGGTTCACCGCCTTTACTACATTTAAGAACTGACCATTTAGTTGCTCTGTAGATCATGCAGTTGTAAATCTCATGAACTCCTCCCCATTCCCGCTAAAGATGCACTCTTCATTGCCAAAACTGTTGTTCCTTTCCTTTGAAAGCGCCACATGGTTTTTGGCTTGCTATGCTGTCTTGTTGTGTTAAATCAATTCTGGCAGTCTTCCAGACTTTACTCATACTACTCTCTATCAATGGGGTTCCCTAAAACAAATGCCCGATAAGCATCATCATTAAACTAAACAACTGTATCGTAATCCTTTGTTTGCTCCATCGTTCTATTCTAAAATGCATCTTTGGCCCCTGGGAGTTGTGCTTCGTTTTGAAAAGTAGCCTCGCCAAAAGATTCAACAGCGCAACCGAAATAAGAAACACTATCGACAGTCAGCTCCTGCGCTCCATTACAAGCATTCTTGATTGTCAAAAACCTTCAATGTTGTCAATCCTGACACCAGGATTGGCAAAGTAATTCAGCTGATACACTGAACAATACTGGTACTGTAGTATTTTCAAGATATTGAGTTGAATATGTTAGGATATTTTAGGTCCGTAATATATTTTTCAACGTGGCAAATACCATGAGAATATCAACGGGTGACATGTATGCAAATAGCATTAAGGATATGCCTTTGGTGCTGGTCATCTTCATTTCCAAAACTGAGTTGGCATAAAATCAGCTGGTGTGTCATTTGTTAGCATTGTGTGCCCTTGTAGGGTCAGCAATAAGGTTTGTTGAATTGAATGAATTTGGAATCACAGCCTCAGCAGTTAATCCCACTAAATCTACCGCTAGAGCATCTACACTTGAATCAACAGTTACATTGCAGTGAATGCGGGATTTACTTTAGATTGGCTTCCAATTAATGCTAATGACCTATTGCTTGAGCTTGTGTATACACATCTGCACTACAGGCTTTCAAGCCTAAACTGGTACTGCTGTTTAGGAGGTAGTATCTGTTTCACTTCTAAGTAGCTTGACCTTGGTGGAGCCAAGTTCAACGACTTGGTCCAACTTTGTCAAGTGCATAGGGCAAATTCCTTACAAAGCCCTTCGAAGAACGTCGACATGATGACAGAAGGGCAAAATGAGATGGCACGTTATGGGCTTGAAATTGGAATGCTGCAAAGGATTAGTCACTAGTGAGATCAGAATGCATTGTCTACAAACATGTGTTGTGTTTATAAGCTGCTTCGTTGCACACGGATCTGGTCCCAAACAAATCCAACAAACTAGTCAGGATGAGCATAGATTCCAAATTATCGTTTTTCGTTTTAGGATTGGGCATGGTGTGTTTTTTGTTGTTTGGTTTTCAGATCCGGCATAGTTTCCAAATCATTGCCTTTATTTCTGGGATTGGATTCTGAGATCTTTGCTTATGCACATTGTACCCCCACAAGGCCCTAATCAGCGAGCAACCATGTGTAGGTGCGGGTCCAAACCTGGACCCCAAAACCACATCCCTTGCAGTCTGTTCTCTTCATTTGGTGTTCAACCACGGTCTCCTGGTTGTGACCCACTGCCGTACCGTATATGTATATATATATATACACAGAGAGACACAAACACACACTTAGAAGGCTGCTCGCGGGGGTTTTATTTTCAAAGTGAGAAGTCCCCCTTGACTTGATGAACAGAAAGAAGCACAAACCGAAAGGCGGTGGAGTCCAAGTAGTTGAAGATGCTTAAAATCTGTTTCAGTGCACTAGCCGCTTACTGGGAAACAACGAAACAGACAGCTTGGGCAACAGTTTTAACCAGAGCGAAAGGTCCAGCAGGCACGCCAGGATGGCCAATCCCGGTATCCCGTGTTCAGACTAGCTCCGTTGGGCGTAGTCATCTGAACACGCTGCGCCCCCCCTGCTTCTTTTAGCGCATCCCTGCCTCTTCGTTCTCAATTAGTGGCGATGCCTTTGGTCCTAGCGGCCTCTTGTTCCTAGTAGCAAGGCCAGGAGCTACTAGTAGCATCCAGCCTTCTAGCAAAAGACTGCGGCAGGCATACTTACCAGGCACGAACCTTGGAAACAGGTGTTGACACACACACTATGCCGCAATCGGCGCTCTGCACCCCTTGCGTTAAACGATGTTGCGCAACAGCTTTGTACACACAACGCCGATATCGGCGCTCCGGAAAATTACTAGCCACCTAAAAAGCCTTAGAAAGACAAACAAAGAAAACAAAGAAAAGCACACGAAGAGGGCAAGAAAGAAAGATAGGTATAGTGACGAGGCCCACTCAGTTATAAATGAAAATAGTTAGCGAGCGGGACTTTAGTCTTAAACCGCCCGGGTAGCTAGGAGTAGGACAGGAGAAACAGAAGGAAAGGCACCAACGCACAAGTGTGTTGAGTGCGATTTCCTTCCGTTACCCTAAATAGCGGGTGGGATAGCAACAGAGGCCAGGGGCAGGGAGGTAGGGGGGAGGGTGGGTTAGGGTGGCCCGAAGGCATTGCCATCACTGACATTCAAATAAAGCACGATTTAGGGCCGGCGCACCCTTGTCTGAAAGGCACCTGGAACCTAAAGAAAGGCCTCAAGAAACGAAGAGCAACAGCAAGAGAGAAAGAACCGAAGAACATGACAAGCGCATGCAACTTGGCCTACGCATGAATCCCGCCTGTAAGCATCGAACTGTACATCTGGTTACTTAGCTGAATGCGAATGTCCTGACTGGATTCTGATCTGTGTGAGCCCTGCGGCGTAGTATCAGTGGCGTCATGCAGAGCAGGTGGTCGAGGAGTATCAAAAAGAAGTCCAAGAGTCAAGACGGAAGTTCAGGGTGGGTCCCCCAGGATCTGGGTCTATGCACATGCAGCGCCCCTCGACGGGGATCACACCACAGCCCTCAGTGGGACTCTGTGGCGATACACACTTAGAAGGTTGCTCGCAAGAGCTAGGTTCAAATTGAAGTCCCCCTTGACTTGATGAACAGAAAGAAGCACAAACCGAAAGGCGGTGGAGTCCAAGTAGTTGAAGATGTTGAACATCTGTTTCAGTGCACTAGCCGCTTACTGCGAAACAACGAAACAGACAGCTTGGGCAACAGTTTTAACCAGAGCGAAAGGTCCAGCAGGCACGCCAGGATGGCCAATCCCGGTATCCCGTGTTCAGACTAGCTTCGTTGGGCGTAGTCATCTGAACACGCTACGCCCCCCTGCTTCTTTTTCCGCATCCCTGCCTCTTCGTTCTCAATTAGTGGCGACGCCTTTGGTTCTAGCGGTCTCTTGTTCCTAGTAGCAAGGCCAGGAGCTACTAGTAGCATCCAGCCTTCTAGTAAAAGCCTGCGGCAGGCATACTTACCAGGCACGAACCTTGGAAACAGGTGTTGACAGTGAATGCGGTGCCACACGCCAGCCTAAGTAAAACCGCCTAAGGTTCCAGGTAGTACGAACGGCGGCGACAGGGTGACGACGGGTCGTGCAAATCTGTGGAGCTCCAAAGGTCCAAACACTCCGAGGTGAGTCGTCGCTGCATTAGCCGCTTACAACAAAGAATGAGACAGCTTTTGCCATACTTAGGTTTTCAAAGGCAGGTACACCAGGTTGATCAGACCAGGCTTCCCAGATGCAAGGTAGCTTTGTTAGGCGCAGTCCCTTGCATCTGCTGCGCCCCCCTGCTCAAAAAATGAAAACTGAAAACGGAGTCAAAAGTACAATCCAAACGGATCCCTGTGACTACAAGGGGCACACACACACAAATAATCACAGAGAAAGAGAAAGAGAGAGAGAGAGAGAGAGATATATATATATATATACTTACTGTATATATATTGTGCTCCTCACGTGGCCAACGGCTGTCCACGGCAAAAAGCAAATCACCGCTCCCTCCCATCTGCGGCCTCCTCCTTGAGCTTCGCTGCATAGCGCCTCACGCGCGCATAGAAGCCCTCACCCACATCCTCCTTGGCGCTCCTCCGTTCGCGCGGCGCTCGCGAGACGGCGAAGGTGTAGAGGCCGCAGAAGCCGGACAGCCAGACCTCGCGAGGACGGGGCGCCTGGATGACATGGATGATGTGGATGGCATGCTTTTTTGATGACTATTGATGACCATTTTGCCTCGACAAACTGGGTAGTTGTCCGCTTCCATGGTGTTTCCAGGGAGTGTATACTGTATACTTAAGTTTCTCGTATGCTTCTCACATGTCCGTAGGATCTTCCTGGTCATCAGATGAACTGCGAAGTTGTCCAGCTCAGGTGCGAAGAACATCGGCGCGCCATAGTTCGCAGCGGTGAGTGCCAAAAGGAAGGACAGCCCAAACAAGAGCACCATGATCAGAGGGGAGAAGGCCAAGCCAAGAACTGCCTAAGGGAAGAAAGGCTGGGAAGAAAGGCTGAAGAACTGCACCAGGGGCTGGATCGTATGGTGAATGGATGGTTTCTCCTGCACAACTTATTTTACTGATGGGTTGAGTTGTGGGAGTTCAAATTTCAGATGGGCAAAGTGATCTGCTAGGCCAAGTGCCAAGCCAAGTGGCCAGTTGGGAGGAACCTCACTGAGGGTCTTTCGGAGGGTCGTGCCTGAAGGGAATCCATGTGTTCTTGAGGTTCATGTTTTTGACATGTCTTGACACCTCTTCATCACCCTGTAGCTGGCCATGATCACCGCAGGGCTCCCTTCATTTCCGCTGCCAACCGCTAGCCACTGCAGCATCGCCGTCACCCGTCGAATCACGTTTACAGGAGGCACTTTGACTTTGGCACGACTCGCCTGCCGTTGACCTCCCTCAAAACCTGTGTCCAAGAGAAAAACACCCAGCCATCCATCCAATCTCAGATGTAAGGGATTGAAATCTGCCGGCAACCCGTGGTTTTGGTGATGAAAACTATGGATTCCTGCAGTTCTCCCTTAGAGCCTTAGACCAATCCATTGATCGAACTTTTGGCCCCAGAAGCCACGAAGTTCCTCACATGCACCGTGCACTCATTGAGCTCCCTCAACTCATCCACCTTCTGTTGGGCTTCACCTCCCATCCTTGCACCAGGAGAGGGAAAAAACATGCAACAGGGGTTCACTGGCTCCCGACATGGGCGCAGCAGCTGACTCTTACTTTAGGGGAAGACTCCTTTGGACGGCGTTCTTTGGGTCCAATGACCACGGCTTCCGCGTGCACCGCTGAATGGGGACACGGGAGGGCATGTGAGAGCCCATACCACGGCAGGGCTAAAAAACCAAGCACTGAGCGAATGCGCCGTGAGAACACTGGCTCCGTTCTGAACTGGTGCCGAAATTCTGGGAAGTGTGGGATGTGAACTTCATTGATGCACTACTGGTTGGTTATGTGATGCTATGTGCAAGGTCCTTTCTGAAGTGCAATGTCCGAAGACTTTGGGCGTGTTCTTTGGAAGGATCCTAGTGTCTGTCACCAGGTCCCAGAATCTGCAAGAACGGGTTTCCAGGAGTTGGACCCTTTCCTCTTTCCATTCTGAAGCAACTACGGGGGGCCGACCCAAACCATAGATTTTGGCCAATCCTCGGATCTGCTTTCTCATTCGACCCATCTTGACTGCGAGGCCAGACAGTCCCAGTCTCTGCTGTAGCATCTCCATGGCCTCTTCCACCAGCGCCTTGCTTTCGCCCTTGGCAAAGTAATGATGGATGGGAGCTACAAACACTGTGCCGTTAACACCCCGAAGCGTGGTTCAAGTTGCTTCCATCGCACTGGCGCCCCCGGCAGACGACGAACATTGGACCGTGAAAATGGGCCCCTGTGACTATTCTCATCTACCACTCATGGTCTTCAACTGGTTTTCAGGGTCCATGTTTAATCTGCAGGCGGGTATACGTCATCATGACAGTGGCTGTGCAAATGCACGAATCCAACATTCGGTCGGCACAACTCCCCACTCAACCAGAGAGGCTACCATGGAAGAGGTGAACTATAGGATCTGGCCTTTCTCTCAAAAGGAGTCCGTACTCTCAAAGGACTCACTCAAGGGCTCTCTCTTCGTAAAAACACTCATCAAAAAGCACTCGTGACTCGGGGGATCTCGCCGGCATCAACCTCTTCGGACAGGAACGCTCCCGAACGCTCCCGAAAAAGCCAGCCCCGCCGCGCGCGCGTCCAAGGCATGAGACCATCACGCCCGGATCCGCCATGGTGCGAACGTCGAACGGTCGCTGAGAGAAACTAAAAAGCCGCGTGATTCGCTCGTTCGGGGGTCGTGCGGTTTCGTGGGACGAAACCGCTCGTCTACGTGACGGTGCGTTCGGGGCCGTGGGAAGATCTCAAGGTCCGACCCCCCATGGGCCCGTCGTGAAGATCTGCGATGCGAGACCGGATGGGGCCCGTCATGGTGAGCTGTCCGAAAGAGGCTGTCTGACATGGTGAGCTTGCTTGATGGCTGTACGTTCGTGCTGCGAGCCTGAGCATGTTCCAGAAAGGCGAGCGATTGGTTGGGCAACCCTTTAAGAAGGGAAGAGCTCTTCACTTGCAGAATCACAGGACTGAGGGCCTCGAGGGGTAAGAAACATCTTCCTCGTCTCTCTTCTCCACACCCTCAATCAACCAAGGTTCCAGTTGCTTCTCCAAATTTGTCGTGGAACAGTCGTTGCTTCTCTGGTGTGGCTTGTCGAGCCATAGAGTTTCAACCAGCACGGCCGCTCCCAAACGAGGGTTTCGTACAACACACGTCACCACGGATTCGACCCTCAGACCAGTTGGTGGATCTTCCATCTGACCAAATCTGGCCCCTGCAAAAGAGAAATCCCCACCTGATGACACCTGAGTCTAGCCTTGTTCCAGAAAAGGCATGGCATTAAACATGCATATCATCACATGCCACTGATTTCAAATACCCATTCCCCGGCCTCTGCTCATCCAACCCCACCCCCCCTAAAAAGAAAAGCACCAGGACCCACCGGTGCAAAGGACACCGCCCCTGAACCTCTAAGTAGAAACTAACAGCACTGGCCTCCAACCAAATTATACATAATAGCGACGGCCTCCGCCTAAGAAGCATGGCCTCCACCCTGCCAAAGCACCCTCCTCCTCCCCAGCCCTGGGTAAGCACTCCTTCGAAAGCGCCGAGAGCCTCACTCTTCGGACTCTTCAGTCCGAGAGGCGTCGAGGAGGCGGCGCATTTCTTTGGCCACGCGCGCCGAGGCGGCCAGAGAGGCCTGAAGTCAGCCAGAGGCGGAGGCGGAAAAAAGAAGATCCAAGACAGGACCATCGGTGTTTATATACATACTGCTGCCTAGTGACTTAGGCAAATGTGGTTCAAGTGACATTCCCATACGGCTACCCACAGGGCAAGGTCATCTGCGCTCACACATCGAGCAACACAGGATGTCTGGGTGGGGAAACCTGGTGTCATAGGACCTTTGGACACCTCCACAATACAAAAAAGAAAAAATCAAGCATCTTCACTGAAAGCCTCATTTTCCATGTATTGTCTTGGGATGGTTGTGGTCTGATGACATAGGACTTGATAGGACCATGTTGGTTCAAGCCTGATGACATAGGCCTTTGGAATCGCTATGTATGTTCGACAAGTCCTAAGTTCCTTTAGGTGTTTTACATACATACATACATACATACATTACATTACATTACATTACATTACATTACATTACATTACATTA